TGTAAACATGAGAAGCAGCCTCTGGGGCACTTTGAGCTCCCGTGTGTGTTGCGCTCAGCTCCTGCCTGTTGCATGCGTCGTTTTGCTATTAACAGGGGTGCCTGTCAGGGTGGGGGGCCGTCCTGGTGGTGTCGCCCCTACTCTCCCACTGTGGCCGAAGAGGTGCTGGCCCAGCGTGAACACACAGTTTTACATGTTTTCAGACTCTGCTGTACTTACAACAGAATGCAAAAGAAAGAGCTGAGCTCGCAGCCGCTGCTGCAGGCAGCAGTACCACCAGCGTCAACGTCCCTGCTGCAGCCTCCAAGATCTCCATGCAGGAGCTTGAGGAGCTGAGGAAGCAGCTTGGCAGTGTGGCCACAGGCTCCACGCTACAGCAGGTACTATGTGCATGGCTGTCCACAGGCTCCACGCTGCAGCAGGTACTGTGTCCGTGGCTGTCCACAGGCTCTTCACTGCAGCAGGTACTGCATCCGTGGCTGTCCACAGGTGCCCATGCTGTAGCAGGTACTGTGTCCATGGCAGTCCACAGGCTCCATGCTGCAGCACATACTGTGTCTGTGGCTGTCCACGGGCACCCACGCTGCAGCAGGTACTGCATGCATGGCCATCCACGGGCTCCACACTGCAGCAGGTACTGCGTTCGTGGCTGTCCACAGGCACCCACACTCAGTGCTGTGCCGGACCCCTGCTGCAAGGGCATGTCTCTCTGTCATTTATTAAAAATGAATCCCAATTTAGAGAGGTCAAGACTTAACACTTGATCATGACCTAGCTCTATATGTTTATTTTTGTTTTTAAAACCAAGAATTCTGAACCACGAGAATCGATAGCAACAAGGTTCTGACCCACGTGGGAGTTGTGCTGCCAGGTGGCCACGTGACTCTGAGCCTACCCAATCCTGACTCCCCATTTCCCTCCTCTAATTTTTGACAGTTTCAAGGGAATGCTTTCAGATTGTTACAATTTTTATTATTCCTTCCGTATTTGGTACTTGTTCTTGGTTTTGATTTTATGTCCTACCCTGGTCTTTTGATGTAAGCCATCTCCCAGTCTCTCTCCTAGGAGCCGCCACGTACCTGGCTTTGTGACCTTAAAGCTCCCTTTGGAGCTGTGTCCCTGAGGCGTCCTGGCCTTGTGGTGCATGTTGAGTACAGCGGCTCCCGAGGGCCTGGCCGGTTTTTGCTGGGCACGTTCTGTGCTGGACATGGTGCTAGGCCTCTGTTCACGTCTCCCTCAGCCCTGGCGCCGCACTCTGTGTGGCACGTAAGGAGACTGGGTCGTGCTGCCACGTGCAGAAACGGTTTGCACTTGCCCTGTGCCTGACCAGCCCTGAGTGGGAGTCAGTGCTTCCGAAAGCTGGGCCAGCCCAGGCCGACCTGTCAGCTTCCAGCTTCCTCCACTGGCACAGGAGGGCAGGCGCTCTGACCACATGTCAGGAGCCAGCCTGTCGCGCTGGGGCCGTTCTCCAGCAGGGTAAGGACGCAAGTCTGTTGCTAACACCTGTCTTCACCCAGCAAGTGGTGTTCAGACCTAGTCACTGCCAGGAAGAAGCAATTCAGCTTGTTCATGAGGCTCCCTCCTCTGAAACAGCAGCTCTGTGCCAAGGTGCCCCCTCTCCTGTGGTTCCCACTGCTGGTGCCCATGGTTTCCCAGGGGGCCCTTGCTGGACCTGGACTCCTGAGAGGAGGGGCTGGGGCTCCCCATCTGCCCTGTTCTCCCCAGCCCCTCGTGTGGCAGGGATATCGAGCTGCATTTCATTTCTGTGTGGCTGACTCTTTGTGGGTGCTAAATTGACTAATCATCTTTGCTGTAGATGTTAGTTTCTACAGGTGTCTTGAGTGTTTGCACTAAAGTGTATCTTTCTGGTTTTGTTTTTAAAAATGTCCTTGCTAGTCTCTGGAACTTAAAAGAAAGATGCTTCGAGACAAGCAGAACAAAAAAAATTCGGGCCAGCACCTCCCTGTCTTCCCAGCGTGGGTGTATGAGAGACCTGCCCTGATCGGGGATTTCCTGATTGGTGCTGGCATCAGCACAGACACCGCTTTGCCGATAGGTACGTGATGCGTTTATTTCTGGGCTCTGCCGATAGGTATGTGATGGGTTTATTTCTGGCCCCTGGGCAGGACACTCTGAGGCCCAGCCCTCCCCTGGGCCTGCCCTCCCTCAGGTTGTGAGGCTCGATGCTGACTGGCCGCTGCCTCCATATTCCCATCCCAGGGTGGCAGCAGAAAGTGGCTCACCTGGGTCCTTGAGGGTTCTTCTCCCATCCCTCCTGCCAGAGCTGTGGGGCAGCCTACAGCAGGCCCCTCCCCAGCTGGCATCCTGGTGCCCTGGTGCAGACCTGCAGGCACCAGAATTGTGCGCAGCACTTACTTCTGAACAGCGGTTCATGACTCCCATAGATTCTGCTCTCAGAGGCCTCTTAAAGTAGTGCTCGTGTAAACAAGATGCAAGTGAGAGCGCACAGTCATTTCAAGGCATGTTGTTGGGGACCCGGGATGTGTTCATCTGTCACAATTCATGGGTACATTTTTATCTATTTTTAATTCTTTTGAGATGGAATCTCACTCTGTCGCCCAGGCTGGAGAGCAGTGTCGCGATCTCGGCTCACTGCAACCTCCACCTCCCAGGTTCAAGCAATTCTCCTGCCTCAGCCTCCCAAGTAGCTGGGACTGCAGGTGCCACCACACCCGGCTAATTTTTGTATTTTTAGTAGAGGTGGGATTTTGCCATGTTGGCCAGACTGGTCATGAACTCCTGACCTCTGGTGATCTGCCCACCTTGGCCTCCCAAAGTGTGGGATTGCAGGCGTGAGCCACCACACCTAGTCAAGTACATTTTTAGATTGAAAAATGAGATTTCACAAACTTAAGGACAGAGATACCTGCTTGTCTTGCCTCTGTCCATTAGTCCAAACTCAAGAGGCAGCGTGGAACGCGATCTGCTTTCCCACTGCTCGCGCAGTTCTGCGGTGTAGGCACCGAGAGGCCAACCCTTGCCTTTGCCAGAAACCCTGGAGAACGGTGACATGAAATCCACCTGTTTTCCTCATTCCCAACAAACAGAACTCTGCTGTAAGTTAATGAAAAGTGTAGAAAACAGTCTACTTTGGCCGGGCGTGGTGGCTCACACCTGTAATCCCAGCGCTTAGGGAGGGTGAGGTGGGTGGATCACCTGAGCCCAGGAATTCGAGACCAGCCTGGGCAACATGACAAGACTAGTCTCTACAAAAAGTATAAAAATTAGCCGAGTGTGGTAGCGGGCACCTGTAGTCCCAGCTCCTCAGGAGGCTGAGGTGGGAGATCACTTGAGCCTGGGAGGTCGAGGCTGCAGTGAGCTGTGATCATGCCACTGCACTCCAGCTTGGGCAGCAGAGTAAGACCCTGTTTCAAAAAAAAAGAAAACAGTCTGCTTTGTGCAGTGTGTTTTCAGTAATAATCCAACTGCGAAGACTTGGGGAGAGAGAGCCGCTCCCTTAGCGGGTATTTAGCGGGCGGCCGGGGCAGCAGTGGGCATCTGAGAGCTCCTGATGATGCCCAGGGAGGCTTCAGAGAAGGACGCGCGGGTCCCTGGTGCCCGAGATCCCGGCAGTGGAGCACAGCGGAGCCAGCTTTCTGGAGCAGGAAGTACCAAGGGGGGTGTTCAGGCTTTCCCCCCGTGTTTCCCCATCCAGGGAAGGGGCTGTGTCCAATAACGCTGGGCACCACGGGCAGCTCTGAGCATGGCGGTGATTGGAAGCAAGTGTGTGGGACTCGGCTGTCAACCCTGCAGCCGGCTCTCAGGTCAGGGTGTGGGTGCCCTCGGCACACTCAGCACCCTAGGGAAGGGGCGGCCTCGCCCCACCTCCCTCCCACGGCCACAGGTCCCAGGGGTGCCACTGGCATCGAGCCTGCCTCGCCTCCCTTTGTCCGCACTGTCCCCGCCCCTTCGTGCCGCCTGTGCAGACTCGAGAATGGAGCTCACCGTGGTGTTCGTGCGGGGCCTGTCCAGCCCTTACCCCACGATTTGACCAGTGCCACACCACGGGACCTTGCATGACCTGGGGCCAGTGTCCTCTGGAAAACACCCCTGGAGTGGTGTGTGATGAGGACACTTGCCTTGGAAAGCATCAGGACCTTGTGAGCACGAGGCGGCTGCCAGCCCTCCACGTTCCCGCCGTGCCTCTCCACAATGTGGGCGTCCACCTGGCCAGCGCCGCCGCGGCAGTGCCCTCCCTCTCGTCGCTGCTGTGCAGCGTGCAAAGCTGTTTGCCTACCTGCGTCCTGCCTTTTCCCCACACCGGCACGGAGGAGCCACGTGGTCAGTGGTCGTTCGGACGTGGTGATTCGCAGACGACGACGCAGGCGTTGAGAAGACACCAAGGATGTTGAATATTGGGGAGGTGAAGCAACTGACTTCTTTTTTTCTTGAGACAGGGTCTCACTTCGTTGCCTTGGCTGGAGTGCAGTGGCGTGATCTCAGCTCTCTGCAGCCTCGACCTCCCAAGCTCAGGTGATTCTCCCACCTCAGCCTGCTGAGTAGCTGGGACTGCAGGCGTGCACCATCACACGCAGCTAATTTCTGTATTTTTAGTAGAGACGGGAATTTGTCATGTTGCCCAGGCTGGTTTGAACTGGAGTCAAGCAATCTGTCCACCTTGGCCTCCTAAAGTGATGGGATTACAGGTGTGAGCCACTGTGTCCGGCCTTGAGGTCCCTCCACAGTCAGGCGGCCGGATCCACACTAACCCCCACCCCACCGTGAGGCTTCTGCCCACACGGGCATTGGCCAAGGCTTCGTGGCTGTGGGTGAATGAGGCCAACATGGTGGAAAGTAAGTGCTGCAGAGTCAGAGGCAGTTCCTGGAAGATGCACTTGCTGTTCTCGAAACCCCAAGCCGCACCTACTGCTTTAGGAATGGCAGACCTTGGGGTCTCGGTGTTATTGGGCATCCTGAGAAAGCCACTGGAGTAATAGACAGAAATGGAACTTGAAGTTGAAAAGTGTAGATCTGCCAGCCTGGGCAACACGGCCAGACCCCACCTCTACAAAAAATTTAAAAATTAGCCGGGAATGGTGGCATGCGCCTGTGTTCCCAGCTCTGAGGGAGGCTTAAGAGGCCTGGGTGCTCAAGGCTGCAGTGAACTGAGATTGCACCACGGCACTCCAGCCTGGGTGACAGAGCAAGATTTGTCTCAAAAAGGAAAAAAAAACAAGGACAATGTGGATCTGCATCGTGATTGAGGCTTTTGCCGAAGGGCTTGCATTGGTGACGGATTGCAGCTGCGCTCAGAATCTTGAGGCCTGCAGTGCAGGACACTTCCCAGCAGACGTGTGAGGCTGACAGTGATTTTGTAAACTGGAAGCGTGTTGTTTGGAGCCTTCCTGAGCTGCTAGGGCCTGGTTTAGGTGTGGTCTGGCTGGCACGGGGCCCTGTCAGGCCCACATGGGGACAGTTTCAACATCGTGCTTTCCTCTGGTGCTCCTCCCGGCCCCCCAGGCAGGGCCCGCCTGAGGCTGTGGACTGAGAACTTGGTCCTGGGACGTGAGGGGTTTGGTGGGTGACGGCCTGTGGCTGTCCGCATGAGGAAACTTAGCTGTGTGTCCTGCAGCCGTCTCGTGCTGTGTGGATAGAAATTATCAGTGTTCCTTAACGTATAAATGATAACTTTTTGAAGACAAGGTTTTTTGTACCAGAGTAACCCAGACTTACCAAGTTGTACTTACGAATGTTGAAAGTGCTGCTTCTGCTGGAGTTGCCTTTTCAACTCCTAACTTCATCTTTTCAAATGTCAGCCATTGTCTGAGCATCGCAGGGCCCAGTGTGGCGAGACCTTGACACAAGCCCCTGCGCCTCCCAGGCCGGCCGCGTCCTGTGGCGGCCGGAACTCAGCCTGTGGCTGCCCCGTGGGGTCAGTCAAAGCCAAGTGCAGTGGCTGACCTTTTATACCCATAAACAAAGACGACGAGCAAGAGTGAGACTGACCCGCGGAGGAGGCACGTGGCTGTGGGGGCGTGGGAGTGGGGGCCGCGGAGCCACAGCGCTGTCTGTGCCTGCAGGCACGCTGCCCCTGGCCTCGCAGGAGTCGGCCGTGGTGGAGGACCTGCTGTACGTACTGGTGGGCGTGGACGGGAGGTACGTCACTGCTCAGCCCCTGGCTGGGAGGCAGAGCCGGACCTTCCTCGTGGACCCCAACCTGGACCTGTCCATCAGGGAGCTGGTGAACAGGATCCTCCCGGTGGCTGCCAGCTACTCCACCGTGACCAGGTGGGCACCGGGTGCGGTCGCTGGGGGCGTGCCCTGTTGTGGGGGAGGGGTTGGGTCCCGTCCTGATGACCATGGGGACAGTGCCAGACTCAGTTTTGGAGGGTCTGTGAGTCACCGTCCAGGGTCCTGACTCATCTCCTCCTAGGGGCAAAAGTTCCCCTCTGGGATGTGGGGTTCGAGTGAGTCATGTGCTTCCTGTTTGGGATGAGACGTAGAATGTCAGACGTTGGATGTGCCTGCAACTTGCCTTTTTGAGGAAGTCTGACAGCTTTTCTCATAGGTTCATTGAAGAGAAGTCTTCCTTCGAGTACGGGCAGGTGAACCACGCCCTGGCGGCCGCCATGCGCACTCTGGTGAAGGAGCACCTGATCCTGGTGTCACAGCTGGAGCAGCTGCACAGGCAGGGCCTCCTTTCGTTGCAGAAGCTCTGGTTCTACATCCAGCCGGCCATGCGCACCATGGACATCCTGGCCTCCCTCGGTGCGTGCCCGCCTGGGGGGCATGGGGCAGTGGGTGGCAGGTGTCTCAACACAGCACCCGGTGTGAGGAGAGACCGCAGGGGCTGTGGAGCAGCCGCCCAGGGCAGGTGCGTGCGGCCAAAGCCCCTGTTGCTCCATGTGTTATTAACTTGCAAGAGGAAAGCCCTGGAGGCTCTCACTGGTCAGCTTAAATCAGCAGCTACAGCCATACAGTTCATACGTATCCCAGAGAAGCAGCAGCACGTCCCAGTAAGAAGGCTGGAGAAGCATGTGGGGCCCCAGCAGTGTTGTTGCTAGGCTAGGCGTGCACTTCCTTCTCGGCAGTGAGCCTTTCTTTCTCCCCGCAGCCACCTCGGTGGACAAAGGCGAGTGTCTTGGGGGGTCCACACTGAGCCTGCTCCATGACAGGAGCTTCAGCTACACAGGGGACAGCCAGGCGCAGGAACTCTGCCTGTACCTGACCAAGGCGGCCAGCGCTCCCTACTTTGAGGTTCTGGAGAAGTGGATCTACAGGGGCATCATCCACGACCCGTACAGGTAGGGCTCCCGGGACACGGAGGACGCGTGCCGCCCTGTCCCGTACAGGTAGGGCTCCCCGGGGACACACAGGACGCGTGCCGCCCTGTCCCGTACAGGTAGGGCTCCCTGGGGACACACAGGACGCGTGCCGCCCTGTCCCGTACAGGTAGGGCTCCCGGGACA